AAGCTTGGATAGAAAACTTCCTATTGCAAAAGTTAGAACATAAGTCTGCATATAAATAATTATTGATATCCGTAATGCAAGTTTTTCATGGCACATGTGCATGATGAGGTTGTTTTGTGTTTATTTATTTATTTTTTTAAAGGACACTGGATAACTTGTCATTTTGTTATACTCATCTGGATTGGTGGTTTACTCGTCAAAGCTTTTATAGTTTATAAGTTTATATGTGTCTCCCAGCCCTGCAAATCTGGTCCCTTAGATAGAAAGCAGCCAAAAACCCTTTAAAATCAGCAACTGACCTGTTAGACAGTCTATCTCAAACCAATAGACAATCTTAGACTAGTTTAAGCTGTTTTACCCCAGCAGGGAGTGGGTGGATGAGTTGTTATGAACTATCTTTCTAATAGATTGATCAGATAGCACCCCTTTAATCTTTCTATTTTACCTGTTCATGATAATTCTTGCATGTATTTATGCATAATTGTTCATGATTGTCATGCATGATTTTTATTGTATTATATTACATTTTTATTATTAATGTATTTAATTGTATTAATGTATTTAAATGTATATTATGTAAATGTACTAATGTGTTTGAAAATACACAATAAACCTTGTGCAGTTAAAGCTTCAATTGTTCTTTTTTCTATTTCCCATTAACAGTTAAAATAATATTTCTACTGATTTTCTACAGGTTACACAGCAGCACTATAAAATAAATACAATAACATTTCATACTATACAGTATTATTAAAAATTAACAGTGTAATTCTGTACTTTAATATGGTAAGAAATTACAGTAAAATAATGTTATTTAATTTGCAGTATGCTTAACAGTACTGTAGTTGGTGTTACGGTAATTTTACTGTTAAATGAAATACAGCAAGTACTGGATAATTGTTGCCAGTAAGTTACTGTTAATTTGACAAGAAATTTTTTACAGTGTACGTATTTGGAACCCCTAAAATGCAATGCATGTGAATGATCACAAAATTCAAGATATGGGGGTTAAAAATGTAATTAATCAATATTACACGAAGAGTGCATTTCAGTTTTTATCCTCCAAAAATCTGCATGATTAAATTAAGTTACTACAACAGTTTAATAAACAATAATTTAATTACAACTACAAAATGTTGCAGAATAATGTAATATATGAATGAATGATAGCCTGTAAAGAACCTTTGTGCCAAAAGTGTTCTTTCTTGTCATTATTGAAACTTTCTTAGCATAAAATGTCCTTTGGAGTTGTTTAAAGAACCCTATGCTATATATATAGAACCCATTTTTCTAAGAGTGATAAGGCCTATTTGTAAGATTATGCTGCAGATTTTTGTATATATTTTTTATCAGTTTGTTTTGAGGTAAATAGTAGATGTATGCTTAGATGCAGAAAAGTATGTTAAAAGTGTGTTATTATGTCATCACTGCTCACAATCACACTATAATACAAGATTATTATTAAGATAAGATTGCAGAGTGATAAATGACCTAATAAAATTACTTCCAATAATCCTGAAATTAGGTTAATATAAAACAAGTGGCCCCTGTCTGGACCCCAAGATATAGATCTTCTGGCACAAGTAACAATGTAACTAATTCGTTTGTTAACATTCTTGGAAGAATCAAAAAAAGCTATCTTTTAAAAATGCACATACCTTTATAAAAGATACTAATGCAGCTCCAGCTATTTTCTGTATTACTGAGAACACTTCTGAGCATAAACCACCCTAACAACCTCTTCAAGCTAGAGATAAATAACTGTTGTGCAGGAGTGTGCAGACATCCTTCCTATTTCCTGAGTGAACTTCCTGAACATTCCTCTACTTTACACCTTTTAACATAACAAGAAGGAGTTCAGTTTAAGAATTAAAGGCTGGCATAAAGGTTAAAACTACACTTCAGATCAGTTTGTGATCTATATTCCATCTGACTAACAGTAATTATAAGTACAATGGCAACTTTCCGGAATTACCAGAACTGCTACTTATTTCATTGTCCATGATTTTTTTCCAAGGAGCTGGTCCAGGTGATCCATCTTACTTATTGTCCAAACTGATTTCCTTTCCCCCTGATTCAAGTCAGTAAAAGTTCCCTAAGCATACTACATATTATGTATCTTATGAATCTATTGTTGTTTCCCTTTAATTTTTGTTATCATTTTAAATGTCTCAGTGTGATTGGTAAAATGGTCTTAATTTCATTGCAGTCATTGAACACAAGAAAGATCGAATACTTAGAGATAAGAGATAGAGATAAAATAAACTTTTGCACGCTTTTCTTATTTTTTGAGTTTCACATGTCCAGTAAAATGTGACTCCTTAACCTAAAACTTTTTTTTCTTTCTTTTTTTTTGTAAAACAGCTTTTTTGTTTTGTAAAGAGATATACAGTCATTTAAAATAAAGTTCAAGTTGTATGTACTGAATTCCTTCTCAGCTCTTACCAGGTATGATGTTTATTTAACTGGTTTATACTACTTCAGAATAAAGCAGATCAAAGTGCATTTGTGTCCATTGTTTGCAAAGGCTTGAACTTTCATGTTCATATTCATGTCATTTCACAGTTATGCCACTATTAATAACACATTTTTTATCAGTGTTTTAATTTAACAGTCATCACTTTTTGAGGGGCCACACACATGATGAAGTCATTAATAAAATAATGCTTAAAGGCTCACTTCACCCATTCGCATTATGCTTTATATCTTTAGAAACCCAGTCATATTTTTGAATGGTCATGGTTTATTCCCTTATTTTCCCCTGAGATGGGAGAAATATGGAAATATTTACTTCCTGCTTATCATGACGTAAAAATCGTCATTTTGCATCACAATAAGCAGGAAGTCATATTTCATTAAAAATCTGTATAGACTACAAACATTAGCTCATTATTATTCCAGGGTGTGGGACCCACTCACCCTACAGGCCTATTACAGATCAGTGGGTGGGACTTTACTTGAAGAAACCATGGCAGATACTGAAATCAATATCTTCCATCTTGTTTGGAAGCTAAGCTAACAAGCGCTGTGGAGATAGTAAGTTGTGACAATGACGGAGGTAACTAAACATGATATGGAGGAAGAGGATTTTGAAGTTCTGCTGCTCGAATCCGATGTTCGTGGCTATCTTTACGAGCCACAGTATAGTGAAGAGCAGCTGAGGCTGATGGAGGAGCAGGAGGCGGCTGCCTGTCGGTCGAGAAGCCCGGACTGGGTCGAGCAGGACGGACTGCTGTTGCCTTTGCTCTCGCTGCGTGCTACGGCCTATGGACACAGAGTCCTTCTGCTGCAGAGAATTTCAACGATGGCAGTTTCTCCTGGATGAAACTCTGAATCAGAGGAGCACACGGACGTTTGTGTTGTGATAGTTTCGCCTGACAGAACATCCAGGTATCATGCAGTAATTCACCAAACAGAAAAAAATACAAACGAGGAGAAATTCACTTATCAGTTTCCCAATGTAACATTTATGGGGTTTGTTGTGGGAAGAAAGAGGCAGGAACCGGCGAACATTTAAGCCTGGCTCACACTACAGGAGTTTTAAAATCCTAACCGATTTTGAAATCTGGTTGCAACTCACACTTAAAGAGAATCTTTGCTGATTTTCTTCCCTCAAATCTTAAACATGCTCACACTACAAGATTTGAAAATCGTGGTGCATCACACACTACACAATGTTATTAAGATTATTGTGCCAGAGGAAGTGGCTCACGTGATCTCACGCAGCAGATCGGAAGCAGAAAAGCGAATGTAAACAAAAAAGCTGTCCCTCATTTCAAGTCATATTCGTGAAAAGGTTGCCGTGACCAAGGAAAGAGAACTTTTTTTAATCATCCTTTAAACATTTAAGGTCGATGTATAAAATGTGCAAAAAGTTCAACCCAGACAGTATTCATGTCCAAGGCCTTGATGAAAGTATAAATTGAAACGTTGGCTTTGATTCAGTATACATTAATAAGTTTTTAAAATCAAACAGTTAAGACTCAAAATCATAAATAGTCAAGATGCTTCTTCATAATTTAACTTATGACATTTGTGCCATTTTAATGCAATTCACTCTGCCTATTTAAACTTCTAAAAATATGTGGACTGTGAATATGAGCTAATTGATACAAACAAAAAGTCCTTTTTAAACACCCCTTAAAGGGTTAGTTCACCCAAAAATGAAAATTAAGTCATTAATTACTCACCCCCATGCTGTACCAACCCCGTAAGACCTTCGTTCGTCTTCGGAACACAAATGAAGATATTTTTGATTAAATTTGAGAGCTGTATAACTACCACATTGGCTCCTAAGGGACTGCCTCTTGACGGCCCAGAAAGTCAATGAAGAAAATGTTTAAATATCCCAAGTGACTACCGTGGCTCAACTATATGTTTATCAAGCGACGCGAATACTTTTTGTGCGAAAAAACAAACAAAAATAACGAGTTTATTCGACTATTTCTTTTCTTCCTTGTAGGCCAGAACGAGAATTCCTTAGATTTCCATGACGCATGCGCGAGATTTGCGATCTGCTTAGATCGCAATTCTCGCGCATGCGTCGTGGAAATCTATAAGGAAGTCTCGTTCTGGCCTACAAGAAAGAAAAGAAATAGTCGAATAAACTCGTTATTTTTGTTTGTTTTTTGTCTCGTTATTTTTGCGTCACCTCTCGTCACTACCGGATAAATTAAAATGGGCAAAGAGGCGGGACGCGGGTGGAGCTGAGGTGCTAATGCTATGCTACTGCCGCTGAATTGACAGCTGATAGAAAAGTAAAGCCAATGGTTAAAGTTCATGTTTTGCCCTTTGAAATATTATAATAGTTAAGACGTAACTAAAAGTGAGACTATTTACTTTACTTTTTTTATCATCAGGACATTTTTATTGTGGTTGTTGTTGAGGATAACCCCTTGAGATGAAACATCTCGTTTTCGAGGGGGTCCTCGAGACAAAACAAAAATAATACAACACATGTACTGTACATTCACTCACACAAAAGCTCTACCTCATCCCACCTCGCCCCACCAGGCCCATCAACTCCTTATTAGGAACAAATCCATATATAAAACATATTGCAGTATTACAATGCATGACAACATTTAGCCCTCACATACACATCTATACATGCAAGCAATACATACATAATATATATGTAAACCTAAATCCATATTCTACACATAATAAAGAGTAGAATAAATAAATAAATAAAAAATAAATAAAAATAATAATAATAATAGAAAAATAAGATATAATAATAATAATAGGTGTCACAGATATAAAGGGTATATGAAACAATATCCAGTCACACATGTGGAAAACATTTACAGCAATCATTTGCTTGCAAGTAAGTAAAAAGAGATATTTTGAAAGAACGCAGTGATGTGACAGATCTTAAAGACCCAGGCAGGTTATTCCAGTCTGAAGGGGCTTTGAATTTAAAAGCACGCCTACCACTCTCTTTGAAAATATTTGGCACAATGAAAGAGAGATATTCAGCGTGTCTCAGTCTATAGTTGGATCTAAATGGACGTAAATATTCCTTCAGATAAGAAGGGTAATTATAATACACACATTTAAAGATAACCTGATACCAGTGATACTGTCTTCTGGCTTTTGGTGATAATAAGTTCAGTGAATCATACATTACACAGTGGTGAGTGGTAAAAGGACATCTCAGCACAAATCTACATATGTTATTAAATACAACATTCAATGCCTTCAAGTTTGATTCTGTTGTGTTTTGATAGACAACGTCTGCATAATCTAATATGGGAAATATTAACTGTGACACAATTCTTAGTCTAATCATTTGAGTAAAACAATTAATAGAGCGATACAGTATTCGTAAATTCCAATTAATCTTTTTTACAACAGAATTTATATGACACCTAAAGGAAAATTGTGAGTCAAGCCAGAGGCCCAGATATTTGAGTTCCTCAACTTGTAAAAGTGGAGTATCATCTAAAAATTTGAGTGAAAGATTATTATGTTGATTCATTGAAGCTGATCTGGTAGGAAACAGTATACTATATGACTTTTTCTTATTCAATAGAAGATGGTTTGATTGGAACCAAAGTTGAATGGCATTAAAATTAGATTGCAATAAGGATTGAATCTTGGAGACAAACATATTGGATGTATAAATCACTGTATCATCTGCATATAGATGGATACAACAGTCTGAGCAAATTAAAGGAAGATCATTGATAAATAAAGAAAATAGAAGAGGCCCTAAAGAAGAGCCTTGAGGGACACCTTTGTCCATTATTAAGGACTGTGATTCAAAACCATGAAAAGAGACACGCTGATATCTACCATGAAGGTAAGAGTTAAACCAGAGAAGAAAATCTTTAGTAAGACCTATCGCATATAGTTTATCAAGAAGCAAATAATGATTGACCATATCAAAGGCCTTAGTGAGATCTATAAATATTGCACCAGTTGATTTGTTATTGTCTAAGGAAGATGACACATCATTGGTAAATTTTAGAAGAGCAGTGGTTGTAGAAAAGTTTGGTCTGAAACCAGATTGATTTGGAGACAGAATAGAAAAATCATTAATATATTTGAATAATTGATTAAATATAATTTTTTCAAACACTTTTGCTATACTACTGATTATGGAAATAGGTCTATAGTTGTTAATATCAAGTGGATCACCACCCTTATGTATTGGTGTAACTCTGGCAGACTTCCACATAGATGGGACCACACAGGTAGACAATGATAAATTAAATAAATCTGTTAAGGGGAACGCCAGTACATGAGATGCAAGCTTAATAAATTTAATCTCCAGGCCGTCGGGATCTGTACCATTGCCTGACTTTAATTCGGAAATTACGTGCTGAACTTCAGTAGGATTTATTGTAGCAAATGAAAATGAACTAGTAACCCTATATGCTGAACTAGAGTTAGAGAAATTAGAAAATTGCGAACTACAAATAGAAGAAAAGTGTAGGTTGAAGGCATTGGCGACTGCAGAAGGGTCACTAATAACATCATTATTGACTTTAATTTTAGTAGCAATATTTTTTGTAGAATTATTTAATAAAGAATTAATGCTTTCCCAAAACTTCTTAGGCTTATGGAAATTATTTGACAAAAAGTTTGTATAATAATTTGATTTGGCATTTCTTGTTTTAGTCGTACACTTATTTCTTAATTGTTTATATACAGCCCCTTCTGAAAGATCCTTTGACTGGCGGTACTTTTCCCATGCCTTATCTCTTTGTTTAAAAAGATAAATTAAATCAGCATTAATCCAAGGTAAGTTATCAACTTTATTAATCTCACAAGGGGCAATTAGTTAAGAGTATACAAGTACATAAACACAGATCACACACATTTCTCACAACATACAAGCAGTCAACTATGTGCATCATGATGCATTATTATTCTGCTAGTTAAAAATGTATTAATTACTTACAATATTGCTCTAAGCTTGTGCACAGTGCATGTGACAGTGATTCAAGGCAAGCACATGTCACAGGTCGAGGGGAGGAACGCTCGGGTGACCAACCACCCCCCCTCTAACCGAGTCACCACCGTGAGGAGCCGACAGCCGACACCACAGGCACACAACAGAGGACCACAGAGACAGAGATAAGTTTCAAAGGAGTAACAATCTTTATTAAACCAGGGGTTTCTCACAGTTTAAGATACTCTCGTTGATGCACGATAACGGAGCAGGGGGTTGCAGCTTACTTCTCCCCAGCGGTGCTGCAGACTTCCAGACTCACGAGTAAGTATGACAGGCAGGGCCTGAAGTTAACTTTTTCGGCCACCGGCCACTGTGGCAGGTGGATTTAAAAATTCACCTGCCACAGAGACTTTTTACCAGCCATTTTTTTTTTTTTTTTTGCCTCATAAACGTAAAAACCGGGAATTTCACTATATTGTTCTTTAACTTGCTTAACTTCTTTAACTTCTTTAAAGTGCTGTCAAGTAATAATAACTCTAACAACATACATTTAAAAAAAAATCTTTTTATTCATTGATTTTGACAGACACAAACACAACAGGCTAGCTATAATATAGTATATACTCAACAGATAGACCTACCGCAGCTCGTAAACAAATCACTCGCGGCTGTGTTGATGGCGAATTTATTCACGTAGACAGGTCTTACTCTTAACAGCTTTTAGTTATAGCGTTCAGGAACCGTTAAATATTAACTAAATTAATACTGATATTACTGGTAAAATTACCGGGTACCGGACATTTTCTCACCGGTTCCCAACTCCTAATATGCACAGTTGCACACGCACACACATCTGTGCAACTGTCATTGTACTGTAACATACGTCAGCGTTACATTATCTCATCCCATCTCACCAACAGTTTAATACTCGCACATCCAAACGTAGTCAGAAAAAGGGTCTCATCTTCTTTCTGATCGCATGAACGTTGCGAAACAACAGTCGCTGTCATAAATCAGCCGCTCACGAACCTTGCCATTGCCGCCGATTGTTCACTTTGTATTAAAATGTCTTCTTTACTTTTCTTTTCCTCATCCTCATCTTTTTATTGGCTGTTTGTTTCAGCTGGCCTCTTTACCCCAGTAATGTGCCGCCACATTTTAGCTAAAGTCCAACGCAATAGCGGACTTTGTTGAAATGTAAAAATCGTAATGAATCACTCACAATTCTCATTGGCTACCTGCCAATGTGGCAGGTAGATTGACAGTGTTACCCGCCAATAGCAAAATTCACCCGCATTTGGCAGGTGGTCGGGTGTTAATTTCAGGCCCTGATGACAGGTAAGGATTCTTCACGGTACAAGGTACTCTCGTTGGTGCACGATAATAAAGCAGTGGATTAAAAGCTTAATTTTCCCCCAGCGGTGCTGCAGACTTCCAGACTCAGACAGTAAGTATGGCAGGTAAGGATTCTTCACAGTACAGAGTACTCTCGTTGGTGCACGATAATAAAGCAGTGGATTAAAAGCTTACTTTTCCCCCAGCGGTGCTGCAGACTTCCAGACTCAGACAGCAAGTATGGCAGGTGAGGATTCTTCACAGTACAGGGTACTCTCTCGTGGCTTATGAAACAGGGAGTCTGTGTGAGTGCCGCTCCTCTCTCTCTCACACCTGCAATGCATTAGCGCTAATCAGTACGGGCATGTTTCCATCACACCCGGAACCGTAGTGGAGTGTTGCACCCAATACGTTCCCCTAGGAAACTCAGGACTCTCAAGAAGGTTCCATTTACTGAGCGATTTTGTCACCCGTGACATCCCCCCTTGCCAATCGGTTCCAGTCCCTGGAACTGGCGTCCCTCAATTCCATTCGCCGTACCTCTCAGATGGTTGTCCTCGGGTGTTCCGTTGAGATCGTCGGGGTGGCGAGGGCAGAGCCGCTCTGGCTTCAACCTCAGGGTCCCTCGGGACCACAGCCCACCCTATCATAGGTGCCTTTAAGGCGGGTGGTGCGCTTGGGGCTTCAGCCGCTAGTTGCGGGTAGTTCGGACAGGGACGGAGCAGGTTTCGATGGAGCACCCGTATTGGTCCTGGCTTCCCTTCGGGCCGTAAAGAGTAGACGGGGGCATCAGGCCCTTGTCGTTGTTCCACCACATATGGTGTCGACTCCCAGCGGTCACTGAGCTTCCCTTTCCCTGGGCGCCGGTTGTCCCGTACCAGCACTCGCTCCCCAGGTAACAAAGGGGCCTCTCGGGCAGTCCGGTCGTATAGTCTCTTATTCTTGGCGGCTGCTGCACTCAGATGGTCTGAGACTCGTCTGTAGGCATTGAGCAGTTGGTGGTGGTGCCGAGTTGCCCAGTCAGTGGTACTATACCCTCTTTCCGCAGCCTCGGTCCCCATGAGCAAGTCCACAGGCAAGCGGAGGTGGCGCCCAAACATAAGGTAGGAAGGAGCATAACCGGTGACACTGTGCACACTGTTGTTGTATGCTTGTAACAGCGAGGGAAGACTCTCGGCCCATTGGCCCTGTTGTTCACTCTCTAGGGTCCCCAGCAACCCCAGCAAGGTCTGGTTGAATCTTTCGCACCCTCCGTTACCCTGAGGGTGGTATGAGGTCGTATGGGTCTTTCGGCACCCATAGAGGCGGCTC